ATGAATTTAAGCGCAGTACTAGATTGGCGGACAGGTCTCATCAATTTACAATTGAAATGGTTAGACGTAAACGTAAGTTCTATGCTAACAATTTTTTCTATCGAATTTCTTGCTTGTGGAACTCTCTTCCTGCTTCTTACTTCCCTGTCAACATTGATCTTCAAAAATTTAAAACCAAAGTCAATTGTTATCTTCTGTCTTCATAGTTCTTATTATTTTATTGTCCTCTGTCCTTAATACTAGTTTTTCTCATTCTCTAACACTCACTAATTTCTTGCTTCCTCGTGGCTTTATTGCTTTGCTTGAGGTGAAATAATTAAAAAAAATAGACGTTTCCTTATGATGAAACATTCGTCATGTCAGATGGTACTTTCAGTTGAAATTTCTCGCCTTTCTTAAAAATAAATATAAACTTGCTCAGTTAATCAGTTGTTTGGACGATCATTTCTGTTTTGGTCGATGAGTAACTAGGCTGAAGATTGTCCCGCAGTAGGTTACCGTTTCTTTCTACGGTAGACTGGTTGCCACCGACGCTATAAGGTCCAGTCTGTCCTGCTATTCAACTCATAGTTGGAGGAAGACTAGATGGGTTCATACCTTTACCAAGGGTATTTAAGCGTAAATGAATAAAACGAACCCAACTGGAATTCGAACTTCTCATTCCAAGACGTTATCCATTAAACTACACCTCACACGAGAGTTGTTCAGCAATGTCCCATCTTTTAAAGTAGCTAGCCACAATCACTAATCCAAATATCCGATTCCTTGCACTAAAACATCGCAAGTGTACATGTTATTAAACCTGTAAACGCCATAATACAGCGTTTTCTCTGTTAAGTACTATCGGTCTACCTTTATGGCTATGAATGTTAAACAATTTTCTCGGAGATAAAGAAGAGACTTGAAGCAAAAGAAATGTGGCTCTACAGAAGGATGTTGAGAATAACATGAACTGAACAAATAACAAGTAATAATTTAGAATCTGGTAATGTTCAGTTGAAATTTCCAGGACACATAATGAGAAAAAAGGACTTGGATAACTCGGCACTCACAGGATAGACTGAAAGCAAGAGAACTGATGGATTCATACCTTCCCCAAGGGTATTTGTGCAAAGCTGAAAGTAACGAACCCGACTGGAATTCGAACTCGGTTCTACGATTTCTCATTCAGAGATGTTATCCCTTAAACCACATTGCACATCATAAAATGACGAGACTTAACTCAAAATGCTAACAGAATCACCGTTTTTGGCAAATAACTGAGAATGCTGATTTTGTTTAGCTGCACATCACCCTCTATGGGTTATTTAACATCTCTCTCTCTCTCTCTCTCTCTCTCTCTCTCTCTGTCTGTTTGTCTATCTGTCCATCTATCTACCTCATTCTAGTCATTTCTATCTGTCTGTCAGTCTGTCTATCTACCTCATTCTAGTCATTTCTATCTGTCTGTCTCTCTGTCTGTCTATCTACCTCATTCTAGTCATTTCTATCTGTCTGTCTCTCTGTCTGTCTATCTATCTACCTCATTCTAGTCATTTCTATCTGTCTGTCTCTCTGTCTGTCTATCTACCTCATTCTAGTCATTTCTATCTGTCTGTCTGTCTGTCTGTCTATCTATCTACCTCATTCTAGTCATTTCTATCTGTCTGTCTCTCTGTCTGTCTATCTATTTACCTCATTCTAGTCATTTCTATCGGTCTGTCTGTCTGTCTATCTACCTCATTCTAGTCATTTCTATCGGTCTGTCTGTCTATCTATCTACCTCATTCCAGTCATTTCTATCTGTCTGTCTCTCTGTCTGTCTATCTATCTACCTCATTCTAGTCATTTCTATCGGTCTGTCTGTCTGTCTATCTACCTCATTCTAGTCATTTCTATCGGTCTGTCTGTCTGTCTATCTACCTCATTCTAGTCATTTCTATCGGTCTGTCTGTCTGTCTATCTACCTCATTCTAGTCATTTCTATCGGTCTGTCTGTCTATCTATCTACCTCATTCCAGTCATTTCTATCTGTCTGTCTCTCTGTCTGTCTATCTATCTACCTCATTCTAGTCATTTCTATCTGTCTGTCTGTCTGTCTATCTATCTACCTCATTCCAGTCATTTCTATCTGTCTGTCTCTCTGTCTGTCTATCTATTTACCTCATTCTAGTCATTTCTATCGGTCTGTCTGTCTGTCTATCTACCTCATTCTAGTCATTTCTATCGGTCTGTCTGTCTGTCTATCTACCTCATTCTAGTCATTTCTATCGGTCTGTCTGTCTGTCTATCTACCTCATTCTAGTCATTTCTATCGGTCTGTCTGTCCATCTATCTACCTCATTCTAGTCATTTTTATCTGTCTGTCTGTCCATCTATCTACCTCTTTCTAGTCTTTTCTATCTATCTGTCTGTCTATCTACCTCATTCTAGTCATTTCTATCTGTCTGTCTGTCCGTCTATCTACCCCATTCTAGTCATTTCTATCTGTCTGTCTGTCTATCTATCTACCTCATTCTAGTCATTTCTATCGATCTCTCTGTCTGTTATATCTATCTACCTCATTGTAGTCATTTCTATCGGTCTGTCTGTCTACCTCATTCTAGTCATTTCTATCTGTCATTCTATCTATCTGAGGGCGGGGGTGAATATATATATTCTGGGTGTACGTTCTCTATTCAGAAGATTGACATGGAGTTGCATCATATGTTTAGCGTTAAACATCTTTATATCAAATCCCGCGGGAAATTAGCCAATTTCTACGCGATATGTCACAAAATCGTCAATTTCGTAGCTGAATTCCCATAGGGACGAGAAATTAAATCCTTCTTGAAGTCTGAAAACAGTGTAAAAGAAAAGGGCTGTCAACTGAAGAGGAAAAATGACACCAAAGATGGAGATGATAGTTTTTTTTTTTTTTCAAATAAGTAACAGAACGCCATGAGAAAAGACAATTTAAGTTGGTCTGGGACTATTTCTTCTTTTAATGGACAGCAAGCAGGAATCATGCCTTCATGTTACGTGCCAGAACCAAATATATAGCAACGGAGTATTATATGCTGGAAATCAATTCGAATTGTTGTCCTTGTTTAGCTTTTGACAGCCAATGAATTAATATGCTTTGTTTTATTTTCAGGGAACCGTTGTGGATATTGCTGGTTAATCTGAGAAAATTTCAGGAAAAAATTAGAAGGAACTTGGGGAGAATATGTAGCGTTAATCTTCCAATGAAATGGAAATGGTTCACGTTGAAAATTTTTATTTAAAATTCAGGCATTTACCGGCGCTTGGACACCTACCATTGGTACTTACAGGAAATACATTACAAGGAATATTTTGAAGGGATTTGTATCCTCCATTTTTCCTTATTACTATAAACATTACTTTTTAGTGGGTACGCGTCTTTGTGTTGCTATCCTTATTTTTTATTTTCTTAAACAGTGAGGTTAAAAACTAAAAAAAAATATTAATACAGAAAAATTCCCTAACTGTCATAGTAATAGCGATAGCATTATGAAAGGCTGACGACATTGGTTTTGATTTGTTTAACGGTGTATCAACTCTTTATGTGTCATTTAATGTCGGAATTTTATCGTTTACTATGAAAATGTATTCATCATTTTTTTTCTTGTGTATTTTTATATTTTCATGTTTTGACCCCAATTTGGCGTTTCACTATTTGCCCATAGCTAGGAGCTTAAAAGGTGCTACTACACCGGGTTAAGGTGGACCTAGAAGCAACAGCAATTAAGAGGTGGATTACTCGCTCCTATATCCTTTCAATCAGAGGCCTTGCTGCAGGTTGTATTTTATCGTCATACCCAGGAAAACAGTGAGGTTAGATTTGTGGGATAAGTGGAGAATAATTCATCACTCACAAGGCTGTGTAATCGTTTTTGAACTTTGGCGACACTGGACAGTGGGCATTAGGCGGTACCATCCCAGACATGTCAGCAATACTCCATTCTTGGTCTGACCTGACTCTTTTACAAGATTGACCATTTCAGCGGGAGTTCGGTATTTTCTGGATCGAAACAAGGAACCGACCGTTCTTCCAGCATCTTTTGTGATGATAACAATATACGCCCCTCCATTTGAAGTCGGTAGTGACCTTTCGAGACAAGGAGTCTCTTTGACGGCATGGCCGCTCAACAGGATTCGTGCTGGTTTAGGGTGATGAAATTTAATATATTTACATAATATTACAGGATCGACTCCAATAATCTAGTAATGGTCTGTAAAACCCTATTACTGTTACCTGCTCTATGGCAATGTTCCCAAATTATCTGGTTATAGATATTTCCTAAATTTAGCATAATCTTATGTAAACAAAAATGTGTGATACTTAATTCTTACAATCGTTAACCCAATACAAGGCCCAAGAGCCACTCTAGGTAGAGGGTTACTGAATGAGATTGTTTGAATAATTATATTTAGGCTCTACTTTTGTATCGAGCACTGTTTTTTTTTAAATAATAACAAAAATCTAAATAATCCAAAGTTCTTTAGATTTTTGTTATTATTTTTAAAAAACAGTGCTCGATACAAAAGTAGAGCCTAAATATAATCATTTATTTAAAAATATGATTCCATCGCTACACAAGAATTCTCATGTCTCCAAACAAGAGCCGAATTGATATTGAAGTTTTCGGCTCTTGTTTTGAAACATGAGAACTCTTATGTAGCGATGGAATCATATTTTTAAAGAAATAACTATATATATATATATAAGCTGGCCACTCGTATTCGTGCATACGCTTCTACTAGGGCGACTAGTCAATTCCTGTTGCAGACGTTTGTTCAACACCCATAGAGGCCAGCAGCTATGCTGAGCATAGCGTGTGTTATCTAGCGTGATCAACAATCTGAACGCTCAAAACCTCGGTCACTTGCACAGACATTGTCTACCTAATTTCACTCATAAAGCTTGGATCAACACGTGGTATGATTTTCAGGTACATTCCAAAGGTGAATCCCGCTGGAATCGCCACCTTCAGACCGATAACATCAGGAAGTCTCCTTGCTAGCAAATTCATCAGGGATAACGTCCTAACCATTCCGCCACGTCACTTTCTCTCTCGCTCTCTTTACATGCATATATATATATATATATATATATATATATATATATATATATATATATATATACTTTTTTCTCTATGTTTTTTCTTCTCTACCCTTCGATATCGATATATAACTTCCATTAAGTTAACCGTTTAAATATGTCAATATCTGCTAACTCATTAATGTCTTCTCTCTCCCCCCTCACTTCCTCACTTCGTTAATTTACATATGTTTAATACGGCCCGTCAAAAATGTGTAAATTTTCTTTTCATTTTTTGTTTGGAAGTAGAGTCTGATGATCTGCAATCCTTTAAAAGGGCTGAGGTGAAATAATTTATTACATGGAACCTTAAAGTGGTCTGTTTTTATTTAAATTATTTGCTCTGGATTTACATTGAGCTCTCTGGATTTTATCCTCCTTAGGTTTACCCATACATTACCTATTTTTCATAAACTTTTCATATATATATATATATATATATATATATATATATATATATATATATGTATGTGTGTGTGTGTGTGTGTGTGTGTGTAAATAGGGTATCTATATAGATACAAAATGAATAAAAAGAGACAACAGAGAAAACTATTATTAGCGGACGCGTTTCGTCCTCTGAGGGACTTTATTAAGACAATGCAGGATACATGCAATTGATTGCACGTGTTTATATACAAAGCGAGGATGTCATTGCTTTATCAAGGCTTTTAAAGTTGAGAACATTCATGAATGTCCATCACCCCAAAACATTTGGAGGACACAATATCTGGCAAAAAGTAAGCGAATAATATTCAAGAACTTTTTGGCAATTATTTTTTGCCAGACTTTGAATTATGACACTTTGTCTTTTAGTCCCTGTTTTCACTGATCTTAACACTGTTTAAATACATTAATTCAGGAATAAAAATTGATTAAAATGTCGGACATTATATTCCGAACAGCCGCTTTTTTTTATGTTTTATTTTTTATCATTTCACCCCCCTCCCAAAAAAAACAGGATGCCACTAATACGCGGTGTGAGTATAGAGAGTGAAAGTGAGAGAATAGACTGGGTATAAGGGGGGATTGACGAAAGGATAAAAGATGAACAGGGTTAAAATAGATAGGCGATTAATTTTCATTTAAATTTTTGAAGATTGTAGTTACCATGGAAGCATGTAAACGAAAAGGTGTTCTACAGGCAGGAAGTGCGAGAAAAAGAAACTGTTGGTGTAGAAGTGGCGGTTATATTTAACTATTTCAACTGTAAACGGGTGAAACCTAAATGCCAATCTAGTAGCACGCTTAAATTCATGTAATCGGGGTACCAGGGAAAAAAAATTCATCAAGGCATTTTCCCTGAAAGTATCTGTAAAAAAAAAAAATAAAAAAAACAGAGGAAAGTCATGTCACGTCGGTTAGAAAGACCTGAAGGTGAAATCCCAAGTCAGGATCGATTACATAGCAGATCCTTCTTTGGATTTTGTCAAGAACCCCGTGGTGAATAGAAGGAGCACCAGACCAGACATGGCAGCAGTATTCAATGCACGGATGAATGGTAGATTTGTAAACCTGGAAGAAGGAGTCTGACGAGAACAATTTTCTGTCACGACCAGTGACCCAAATGTTCTTGCAATAGATGCAGCTATTGATTCGATATAGTCGATCCACTTCACCTAGTACGATTTCAGTTCAAAAGGGCACTAGTCAAGACATATCAAGATTATTGTTTCCAAGAAACGTTCCAGGTAATCTTAAATGAATTTGAAATACAACAAGAATTGATTGCTTTTTGATTTAATTATATTCCCAACTAGCAGTAGAGCCCGGCGTTGCCCGGGGATGTAACAGTAAGAGATAGATCAAGTATCGACCATCATAAAGACTGAAAAATAAAATTGACAAAGATTATTGTTTAAGGTTGACGGACACGCATGTCTTAATTAGTTTTTTTTTTTTTTTTTTTTTTTTACGAATTGGTCAAACCCAAACTGAAACAAAAACATTGTTTTCAATCGTTATGAGTCTATCGATTGAATAGAATTTTATTATAAACAATTGTCTTGTAAATGGAATTTTAAAGCATTCTGAATGTAAAAATAAATAAAAAAAAAGTGTGCAAGACAATAAGAAACACTACCTGCCAAAAAAAAAGTGAAGTTTTGTTGAAATCGGTTGAAAAATGTAGGAAATCCGACCCCATATATAAACGAACACACACACACAAACAACCTAGGTTTTATAATATAACTCGATATGAGTTGTCCCCCTTTCATTCTCGTGATGCCTCTTAATCGTATTTTCAAATTGATTTCGTGCAAAAACAATTGTGTTTTTCCAATTTTTTGGCGCTGTCAGAACCACCGCAAGGTAATTTTACGTAGTCCTGTGAAGTTTTGTTGAAATCGGTTGAAAAATGTAGTAAATCCGATCCAATATATGAACGCACACACACACACACACACACACACACACAC